AGTGGTATGTGGTAGCCTGCAAACTAATTGGGGATTTGAGAGCTCTGGTGTTTGTTTTCTTGTGTCCACTTAGTACCCTTAAGTCTCAGAAATCCTCTGTGGGCAGCTGCCAGGTTCACCAGCATTTCTCTGTTCACCAAGAAGAACTAGTCAGTTTCCTTTGGAGGGTACCAATCATTGATTTGTAAAGTCAACCATTGGAGTCATTGCTTTTTGTGAAAGATTTTTGCACCACAGGTGAAATGTTCATGTTGCCAAAGCCTGTTTTTTTCCATCTGGTAGTTATCTCATCAAAGCTGTTTCTGTATTTTCTGAGGGAAATTGATATAATGAAGGAGTTGATATAACTTCACTAGATCTTGCGTTTACTCTGCTGTGGACATAGCAGTGATAAACCTGTTATCACTAGGTTTGTGTTGGCTTGCATTGTTTCAGTGTCAAGTCCTATTTTCACTGTGGCTTTGGTATAATCATTTATTTATTGTAGCCAACCTGTGGAGGGTATTGTCCCTCTCATGCCATAAATTCATTGTCAACTCACTAAATATATTTCCATTAAATACTTTAAAATGTATAGTGTCTGTACTACATGGATTGATTTCTTTAGTCTATGAGGATTTTTTCCCCCTAATTTTTGACTTGACTCTTACTTTGGTGCAGCTGATTAACATTATCCTGTATGATGAATAAGGAAGGGCTGGAAGAACCAGCCTATTTTAGTTACTGTGACTGCATAAGAAATAACCCTAAAACTTAGTGGCATAAAATAACCATGTATTGTCCTCAGGGATTCTATGAGTCAGAGATTCTCTCTCACACACACACACACACACACACACACACACACACACACGGCTTAATTTTGCTCCATTATGTGTCAGGCCTCAGCTGGAAGACAAAGGCTGGAGGCTAGAATCATTTGAAGGCTTATTCATGTACATGGTTGTTACCTGAAAGCTGAGGCTGAGGCACCTGTATATGACCTCTTTATGTCCTGAACTTCTTCACAGCACAGTGGCTGGTTTCTAAGGGTGAGCATCTTTAGAGAGAGAGCCAGACTGTAGCCATGTTGCCTTTCCAATCTGGCCCTGGAAGTCATATAATGTTATTTTTCCATGTTCTGTTTGTCAAGGCTGTCACAGAGTTAGGGGAAGGGAAATAGACTGCATCTTGATAAAAAATGGAGGATCATCATGTGGGATCAGAAATGTTGCTGTGGGCTTATTGGGAAAATACAGTCTGCCAATATGACGTCCTGGTGGAGATGTCCAGTTTGCCTCTTCCTCATCACTTACCATACCCATGTTCCTACTTTCATAGATACCCAGAAATTTCATTCCAGAAATGTCTCCTTTGCTTCTCAAGGGGTAGCTACCATATTTAAGGAGTAAGAGATGACGAAAGACAGATTTAATTTTTATTATTTGCTCTTTGTGTTCGTTATTTAAATTATTTATTCAGGTGTGCCATACTCTAAAAAAAAAAGTATGTGTGTATATATATGACACACACACATCTATCTTTTAAATTTGATTTATGTATGTTTTATAAGTGTATGTATGTACATGTAATTAGCTTATTCATTTACACAATTTTCAAAACCATATAGTTCCATAGGTCTTGAGTTTGTAGAGCCTCACTGCCAGTGTTCTTAGAGCTGAGTGAGAGGAAGGGATTGGAGAGGACTTACCTATTCACTGTGTAGACTTTTTCGTATTATGCAGGCTCTGTCTATACAATACAGGCAGTACAATCTGCCTGTACAATCAGCACAGTATAAATCAATCAACTGTACATGATGCTCCTGATTACAGAGTCCTTCATTTTCTTCAGGTAGTAAATCTCCAGTTCTCACAGTGATTGGCTGTAGGGGAGGGGAAGTGAGAGGAGTCATGTAGGGGCTGTTACTTATATAGACTCTCAAACAGCATTTTTTCAGTCCTCCCTGCCTTTGCTCTTTAAAAGATAATTTGTACCCTTATTTCTAGAGTTTGTGGGGTAAATGAACTTGCTTCTAGGCCTTTCTCACACTGTTAGCTTTTGTCCAGCTTTTTTTCTGTCACTTAAGTTGGTGACCACTTAAGTTGCTTTTCATTTTCCAAAATTTTCATAGTGTAGTCTTTTCTTTCATTACTAACTATATCTATGCTGTTATTTTAGTGTGCCTTAAGCAAACATTTATGTGCAGCCTTCCTCATTTTTAACCTTGACATCTCTCGAGTTGATTGGCAACAGTGCCTACCTTGAAGAATAATTTATTAAATATCAAACTTTAAAAAATAAAATCAGCTGTTAAAATGGAATTGGTTATCTTTAGTATTAAAAGACATAATTTTGCCAGCTTTTATAGTATATGAAAAATCCGACATTATAGTGTATGATAGATTTTTAAAGCTTTTATCTATTTGAAATGCCTTTTTCTCTAGGCTGTAATCATATTAAACACTAGAAAATTCTTTTGTCAATCAAACTTATAGTTGAGCACAATTAAGGTGACCATATTTTTTGTTTTATTATTTCATCCTGTTGTGGTTTCAACAAGCATATAGTTCTTGGATCTCATATCATATTTGTCATGCATAAGTCTGTTACTGAAAATGACATTTACGTCCATGAAGTAAATAATCTATTGAAAGATTATTGGGCAGTTATCCAATGATGATTTTATACATCTTTATTTTGAAGACTAACTCTGTGACTGTACACAAGTTGTTCTTGTCTGTGTTTCATATTCTTCCTTTGTTAAGAAAGAATAATATCTACCTGACATTAGGATGCTTAGCATTAAACAAGAATGTTGGTGAAGTTCCTGTTTATGTATCTGACTACGTTTAAAAAGGTTGACTTTCCTCTATTGCTTGTAATCCAATTGATCATTCTCTAGTTCAAGAAATGTTTTCTTGGAAGCATGTTATTTTTGAAATCCCACAAAATAGCAATCTACTAATTGTTTGATATATGTATATAATGTTTTCATCCATATATTGATGTACATATACTTCTTGCAAAACCCAGTTTTTTCCTGGCTGTATTGATTAAAAATATATACACAGAAATTTTAAAATGCCAGTTATTTGTAAAAAGTAAAGAGAAAACAATTGTCAAGTGTTACTTTTATGAGAATTAGATATTTTTTTATCCTACAGAAAATTGTAGTTATTCATGTACGTTTAATAATTATTGAATATCTAATATACATTATGGAGTATAATTCAAAAGTAGTTATCAGCCATTAAATTCTGAGAGATGTGTTGGATTCTATTTGGAAAAATTTTCAGCTTAGTTTTCCTTCTCTGGAAATTACATGTAGATTTTATTCTTTTTTGTAATATGTATAATGCACAAAACAGTGCAGTACACAGATCTTCATTATATAACTCAATGAATTCTTTTATGTATACACCTGTGGAGCACCACCAGATTAAGGCATTGAATATTTCACTCAACAAAAAGGATTTCCTTGTGCCCCTCTAAGTATAATCAGGCATCACTTAACAACAGGAATACATTCTGATAAATGTGTTATTAGTTGATTTCATCATTGTGTGAGCATTATAGAGTGTACTCACTCACATGTAGATGGTATAGCCCATAACACACCTAGGATATATGATATGGCCTGTTGCTTCTAGGCTACAAACCTGAACAGCATGTTAGTGAACTGGCTATTATAACATAATGGTATTTGTATATCTAAATATATGTAAACATAGAAAAGATATGGTAAAAATACAGTATTAAAATCTTAGCCAGGCACAATGTTAGGCACCTATAGTCCCAGTTACTCAGGAGGCTGGGGTGGAAGGATTGCTTGAACCCAGGAGTTTGAGTTCAGTGTGGACAGCATAACAAGACCTTGTCTCTGAACAATAAATAAAAAAAATAAAAAATCTATAATCTATGGCAGTGGTCCCCAACCTTTTTGACACCAGGGACCAGTTTCATGGAAGACAATTTTTCTTCAGACTTGGGGTTGGGGGCATGGTTTCAGGATGATTCAAGCACATTGTATTTATTGCATATTTAATTTCTGTTATTACTACATTGTAATATAAAATGAAATATTTATACAACTCACCATAATGTAGACTCAGTGGGAGCCCTGAGCTTGTTTTCCTGCAACTATATGGTCCCACCTGGGAGTGATGAGAGACAGTGACACCCGAAATATATTGCTCATGTCCCGTTTACTCCATAATCTCATTTCGGCTGCTGTCACTGCAGAAAATCCTACTTCATAAAGGTAGGATGTTGGAAATGAAAGCAGAGTTTTCAGTGCTTTTGTGGCAATCTCAGGATATTTCCTCGTGACTTTAATCTGGAATTTATGGAGATGTGAAGTTGTCTCAAACATACTTTTATAAGGCCACAATCATTTGTGATCTCTAGCAGTTGATTCTCTTCTAGCATGAACAAAGTTGATTCACCTGATTTATTCACAAATGGGTCGCATATCCATTTCTTCCCAGTTCAGAAGTCTTTTATGGTTGGGAAGTAAAGCTCAAATTCTTTTGAAAGCTGAGACCAATCTCAGAAGTTGCCATAGAGCTGCGTGAACAGACATGAATTAAGGGAATGCAGTTTAATGTGGTTGATAATTTTAATCACATCCTGCAAGACATTAAGTTCAGGTGACACTCTTTGGCTAGCCGGCATTTCTTTATGGATGACACTGTGTCACATTCAGAAGTGACCTCTTGGATCCAAGTAGTGAAACCAGAAAGCTGTCCAGTCATGGCAGCTGCTCCATCCATGCATATACTGACACAAAATGACCATTCAGAGACTTGAATAGCTGTGCAGCTGTGGTGTTGGTTGGCAAGAAAAGTGCACATAACATATCCTCATGCACATCTTTCTGAAAACTATCACACAAAAACAAGCATTGTTGCCTTGTTAAGTACTTAGTAGACTTGTCAACTTGGATTAGATGCCATATTGACTCATTAATTCTCTCTAATGTGCCTCAGTATCTTCTGTGATTTCGTCAATTCATCTAGTTACGGTGTTAGCTGAAAGAGGAACATGTGCCACTCTTTGAACTACAGCCACTCCTAAAAGTTCATGACAAATGTGCTTAGCAGTAGGCAGGATCAACTCTTTAAAGGACTCTTTAAATTTAGCAATGTGGCTAGCCACCAAGAATGTTGCCTGCTCTCAATGCAAATGCATTTTAAGTTGTGGCCTTCAATAATTGCTTCTGTTCTTTGTGTTCACAATTTTTTCTTTTGGAAACTCCAGAGGCTTATCTTTTAATGCAGGGCGCTTGGTTTCTATGTGGTGAAGAAGTTTTGAAGCTTTCATGGCTTCATTGGCTAGCTGGGTTGCCACATATCATACAAAGCAGACTTGGAGAATGTGAATCACCTGTTGCAATGAACCTGCAATTTAAGTAGGACTCTTGGTATTTTAGGTGCAGTTTTCTTTTTGTTGGCAGTCTTAGAGTCTTCTACTGTCTCAACATTGGGTCTTTCCCCCTTTTCAAAGAAGCTCTCTGGTGATATTTGGATTTTACTCATTTTGGCTAGGGTTAGCTTGTAGACTTACCAAAACTGTGACTGAGACAAGTACACAGTTCGGGGAAGAGGCAAAAGAGGCATGGACAGAAGTGGTAAATAAAAAAATGGGTGGGCCATGTGTGGACTAAAGTAAGTGTCTGATTCTGACTTAAAGCCTGCCACCAGATGCAACTGTACAATTGGAGTATCTCAACTCACTTGCCAATATAAAGCTTGTCACTTGCCATTCACTGTGATAGGGTTTTGATATGAATCTGAATGCAATCGATTTATTATGGTCTCTGTGCAATCAAACCTCTCCTAATGTTAATCTGTATTTGCAGCCACTCCCCAGTGCTACCATTACTGCCTCAGCGCCACCGCCTCACCACTACCTCAGATCATCAAGCATTAGATTCTCATAAAGAGTACACAACTCTCATATGCGTGGTTCACAATAGGCTTTGTGTTTCTATGACAGTCTAATGCTGCTGCTGCTCTGACAAGAGGCAGAGCTCAGGCAGTGACGTGAGTGATGGGGAGCGCCTGTAAATACAGATAAAGCTTTGGTCACCCGTTCGCCCACTGTTCACCTCCTGCTGTGTGGACTGGTTCATAACAGGCCATGGACTGGTACCGTTCCATGACCTGGGGGTTGGGGACTCCTGATCTATGGGACCATCATTGTATATGCAGTCCATCATTGACCAAAATGTCATCATACAGCTCATTACTGTATATATTCCATTTTATCAACTTTGTTTACTTTTTTCAACTTTTAATAACATTATTTAGTGATTACTTTAGAAATTAACACAATGTGACCTTCAAAAGTGTGCCTTTAATTAGTTCTTCCACCATGTCCCTCCAAAATGGGAAATCCTTAAAAACAGTTTAAATCCATTTACTTGCCTCCTATTTTTGCTATTGCTTTTATGTCTTATTGTTTTCACCCTTATATGTTATAAACCTTGCAGAGCATTGTTATTATTAAACAGTCTTTTGTATTTACCCATGTAGCTACTATTTCTAAAGCTATTCATTGCTTGCATATACATATTTCCATCTAGAATCAGTTTCCTTCATCCTAAGGAACATCTTATCTTTCTTGAAATAGGATCTATTACTGTTAGATTCTCCCAGCTTTTAGTTTGTCTGAGAATGTCATTAGTTACTCTTCACATTTTGGAGGATAATTTTTGCTTTATGTAGAATTACATACTGCTAGGTTTTTTTTTTGCCAGTACTTAGTAGGCTTTCATAGTTTCTCCTAGGAAGTCATCATTTTTGATTCTTACTAATGTTCTTCTGAAAGACAAGATATGTTCTTTATTCTCTGACTGTTGTAAAGATTCTGTCTGTTTGATTTTTGTAGTTTGTTTATAGTGTACCTAGATGTGGTTTTTGTGTTTGTTCTGCTTGATGTTTATGGAGCTTCTTAAATCTGTAGGTTGATATCTTAAAATTTTGAAAACTTCTCATCCTTTATTGATTCAGATACTGCTTCTAATTTTCTTTTCTGTCCTCTGGTCTCCAGTTGCATATATGTTAGACCATTTGCATTCCATCTAATGTGTGCTGTTTTGTTGTTCAGAATTTCTTTCTGTTTCAGTTAGTATAGCAATTTTTCTGTGTGTAAGTTTGCTAATTCTGTTTTTTGGCTGTGCCTTATCTGCTATTAAACCTATTAATGAATTCCTATATTTCATATATTGTATTTTGAAGCTCTAGAATGTTCAGATGATCGTTTTTATATTCTAAGTTTTTTGTTTTAATACTTGATAATCCATTTTCTCTATTTTTCTTCCATTGCTTTTAATATGTTAGTCATTTTGAAGCCTTTGTCTGCTAACACAAGTATTTATTTTTCCTTTTTTAAAAAGTTTCATTTTAAGTTCAGAGGTACAAGTACAGGTTTGTTATGTAGGTAAACTTGTGTCATGGGGTTTGTTCTGCAGGTTATTTTATCACTCAGGTATTAAGCCTGCTATCCGTTAGTTATTTTTCCCGATTCTCTCCCTCCTCCCATCCTCCGCTCTCTGAAAGGCCCTAGTATGTGATGTTCCCCTCTGTGTCCATGTGTTCTCATCTGTAGCTCCCACTTACAAGTGAGAACATGCAGTATTTGGTTTTCTGTTCCTGTGTTAGTTTGCTAAGAATAATGGTCTCCAGTTCCATCCGTGTCCCTGCAAAGGACATAATCTCATTCTTTGTTATGGCTGCATAGTATTCCACGGTATCCATACACCACATTTTCTTTATCCAGTCTCTCATTGATGGGCATTTAGGTTGGTTCCATGTCTTTGCTGTAGTGAACAGTGCTGCAGTGAACATATGTGTGCATGTGTCTTTACAGTAGAATGATTTATATTCCTCTGGGTATGTTCCCAGTAATGGGATTGCTGGCTTGAATGGTATTTCTGTCTTTAGGTCTTTGAGGAATCAGCATGCTATCTTCCATGATGGCTGAACTAATTTACACTCCCGGTAGCATTGTGAAACATTCCTTCTTCTCCACAACCTCGCCAGCATCTGTTATTTTTTTACTTTTTAATAGTAGTCATTCTGACTGGCGTTAGATGGTATCTCATTGTGGTTTTGATTTGCATTTCTCTAATGATCAGTGATGTTGAACTTTTTTTCATATGATTATGCCTTATAGATGCTGAATATTAGAACTTTGTCAGATGTATAGTTTGCAAAAATTTTCTCCCATTCTTTAGGTTATCTGTTTCCTCTGTTGATGGTTTCTTTGCCGTGCAGAAGCTCTTTAGTTTAATTAGATCCCATTTGTTAATTTTTGCTTTTGTTGCAATTGCTTTTAGTGTCTTTGTCATGTCATGAAATCTTTGCCCATCCCTGTGTCCTGAATGGTATTGCCTAGGTTGTCTTCCAGGGTTTTTGTGCTTCTGGCTCTTACATTTATGTCTTTAATTCATCTTGAGTTAAATTTTGTATATGGCTTAAGGAAGGGGTTCACTTTCAATCTTATGCATACATCTAGCCAGTTATTACTGAATAGAGAATCTTTTCCCCATTGCATGGTGTGTGTGTGTGTGTGTGTGTGTGTGTGTGTGTGTGTATACAGACACACAGCACACAGTTTAAGATCTGGGATACATGTGCCCGACCTTTCTTTCTGGCTGCACTTAACATTTTTTCCTTCATTTCAGCCTTGTGGTGAATCTGACAATTACGTGTTTTGGGGTTGATCTTCTCAATGGTTGTAGGAGCGTGGCATTGTTTCTGGGCTCTCTATTCTGTCCCATTGGCTTATGTGTCTGTTTTTGTACTAGTACCATACTGTTTTTGGTTACTATAGCCCTATAGTATAGCTTGGAAGTCAGATAGCGTGATGCCTCCAGCTTTGTTCTTTTTTGCCTAGGATTACCTTGGCTATTTGGGCTCTTTTTTGATTCCATATGAATTTTAAAATAGTTTCCTTTTGTTCTTTGAAAAATGGTGGTTAAATAGGAAAAGCATTGAATCTGTAAATTGCTTTGGGCAGTATGACCATTTTAACAGTATTCACTCTTCCTATCCGTCAGCATGGAATATTTTTCTATTTTTTAAGTGTCCTCGCTGATGTCTTTGAGCAGTTGTTTATAGTTATACTTGCAGAGATCTTTAACTTCCCTAATTGTGTTCCTAGACATTTTATTGTATTTTTTGTGGCAGTTGTGAATGGGAGTTCATTCCTGATTTGGCTCTTGGTGCATAGGAATGCTATTGATTTTTACACATTGATTTTGTTTCCTTAGAGTTTGCTGAAGTTGATTTCAGCTTAAGAAGTTTTCGGGCCGAGACTATGGGGTTTTCTACATGTAGGATCATGTCATCAGCAAACAGGAATAGTTTGACTTCCTTTCTTCCTATTTGGATACCATTTTTTTTCTTTCTCTTGCCTGATTGCCCTGGCCAGAACTTCCAATGCTATGTTGAATAGGAGTGGTAAAAGAGAGCCTCTTTGTCTACACAAGTATTTACATCACCCCTAAGTCTGTTTTTACCGACTGCTTTGTCTCTTGATTATCAGTCAGTTTCCCCTGCTTTACACATCTGCTAATTTTTCATTGTGTATTGAACTTTGTGAGTGAAATGTAGAGTAATGGACAGCATACTATGACCATGGGCCAGATTCAGCCTGCTGGCAATTATTGCATGGCTGATAGCTAAGAATGGTTTTTTACATTTTTAAAGGTTATTGTTTTTGCCCTGTTACCCAGACTGGTCTTGAACTCCTGGCCTCAAGGAGTCCTCCCACCTCACTCTGCCAGAGTGCTGAAATTGAATGAGCCACTATACCCAGCCTCTGTTTGTTTTTTAAAGAGCGTGTACAACAGAGACTTTGTGTCCTCAAGCCTAAAAATATTTACTTTCTGGCCTTTTATAGGAAAGGTTTGGACCCCTATTTGTTGGAGCTCTGGATTATTATGTCCCTCTAAATAGTAGTGAATTGTATTATGGCAGATGGCTAAATAGCCAGCAGATCACTTTGATCTTATGGAGGTTAGTTTTAGGGCTTTTGAGGTAAGTCTGTTTCACCTTTGTTCTTACTCCTAAGACAGTTTGTTTAGGTAGTCTAAACTACGTGACTAAGGTGTTCATCAAGATTCTCTCTCCTCTGTGCCTGGACCACATCTCAGAATTGCACAACCTCTGCAATCTCTATTTAGTTAACAGCCATTTTCTCCTAGGGATTCTAAACCTGTGTATGCACCTCCAGCAAAGCAAATGAGGATCATAGGGGAATTTTTTGTGTATTTTTATAGCGTTTTTTCTTTGACTTTTTCCATTCTAATAACCTACCCCCAAAACCCAGGAACCTTAGCAACCCCAAACATTAATTTTAGTTTTCTTATCCTAGCAAGACTGCCACTCTCTGCTTGGGCTTTGTTTCTCCACAGCATGGTTTGGCAAGAGTCCCCAAGGAAAAAAACCAGTGTGGGACTTGATTCATCTGTCCTTTTCTTCCAAGGATCATAGCTCTGTGTTGGTTGGTGTCTGTTGCTTATAAATGTTACATACATGTGTTATTTGGTTTGGTTGTTATCCGTGTTTGGTCTGGTTTTTATAGATGCTTATAACAGAGTATTCCAATGCCAGCTACTCTATATGATCAGAACACCAAATCCTGATTATTTAAAAACATGAAAATGTATCTTAGTATATAATCAGTGAATTTTGATTTGAAACATTTAACATGTTACTTGCTGTATTTTCTGATTCATTGTTTATTTGACCCAGATAATTGAGCTAAATATGACTTAGATCTCAGTTAATAATAGTAAATATATGCCTCTTATAAAATCGAAATGGCCCTTGCTTTCCAAAGATGGAACCCCAAGCAGCTGGGCTAATGGATTTGATATTTTAGAATATTTCATCTGCCACATTTGAGATGCACACTAATTGATCTGGGTACAGCTGTTGTTAGAGAAGCTTCTTTCCTTGGCTGATAAATTATTAATACTTAATTATTTAACATTTTTGTGTTTGTTGTTTATATATCTAGCATCTTAAAAATATTTTAGCCTATACTCTTTTTTTTCTCTACTATATTCACAGTGTGTTTAGAGACAGTGTCTTGCTCTATCTTCTAGGAGGAAATGTGGTAGTGCTATCATAGCTAATGCAACCTTGAACTCCTGGGCTCAAGGGAATCCTCTCAATTCAGCTTCTCAAGTAGCTGGGAATATGGGCATGTGCCACCATGACCAGCTAATTAAAAAACTTTTTTTAGAGATGACATTTCACTATGTTGTTCAGGTTGGTCTTGAACCTGATCAGGTGATCCTCCCACCTCTACCTCCCAAACTGCTGGAATTACAGGCCACTGTGCCTGGTCTGCTTGGCTCTTAAAGTGCTGCCTTATGACTTATTTCATATTCTTGAAGGGAATACTCATTTAAATATTTTTGCCATCATAGTGCTGTGTGTGTCTCTCATGAAGTTTACTTAATAGTATGCCCATCTGAGATAGATGTGGTCTGTTCTTTGGGAAAGGATATATGACATAGCTCTGTTTTCTTGCTAGTACTTGCATAAAGGAGCTTTCAGTATTCATTGGAATGGGGTTGTTGAGCATAGAAAAAGATATAGTTATCACATAAGGAAGCTACATGACTCACTCTCTGCTGCCTCACTCCCTGTCTCCCTCCCCTGGGTAATTGTCCTGATTCCCGTGTCGATTCAAGAATCCCCCAAGGAAGCTCTGCTGCCCAGTCTGGCCCTTTTCCCAGACACTGATGTTGGTGTTGATGTTGATGGATGTGCTCTGCTGATCATAATACTCTAGAGAGGAAATTGTGTCTTATCTTTGAACCCACCATTCATAATGTTTATTCCTTACTGAAATTGGATAGTTCAATATCTGTATATCAGGAATTTGGTTTCATATTAAAGGTAGTATCCATTTATTTGAGTTTTTGCCCTTATTAGTTAACGTTCTTTTCAATTATTAGATTTAATAAGTACGCTTCCAAATGTTTAAAATAAAACAAAGCTGGACTTGCACATATACACACACATATATATATATATATATGTATATATATATGTATGCTTTACATATAAATATGCAGCTTTACATATACACAGATAGGTGTGTGTATATGTGTGTGTGTATGTAAAGCTGTACTTGCATATGTATATGTATACACATACACTTGTATGCACACATGTAGCAATATTATTTACTTTTGAAAATATCCTGAAACTCTTATCCTCTTGGTAATTCAGTATAGTAGTAGATCTTCCTCTTAAATATTACTCCTAGTGATATTTTATTACTCTATTTTTCCATTTACCTTTTGAATTCTATACTTTTTTTTTTGAGATGGAGTCTCACTCTGTTGCCAGGCTGGAATGCAGTGGCGCAATCTTGGCCAACTGCACCTCCACCTCCCAGGTTCAAGCGATTCTCCAGCCTCAGCCTCCCGAGTAGCTGGGACTATAGGCACACACCACCACGCCCACTAATTTTTGTATTTTTACTAGAGATGGGGTTTCACCATGTTTGCCAGGCTGGTCTCGATCTCTTGACCTTGTGTTCTGTCCGCCTCGCCCTCCCTAAGCGCTGGGATTACAGGCGTGAGCCATCACGCCCAGCCTCTATAATTTTTAATGTATAAGTTTGGTTTCTACAAAGAAAAGTGACAGCTGTAGTAGGTCAGGAATTAGTAATAGTATTATTACACATTTTTTTGAATGTGCAGATATTTCCCTTTGATGATTCATTTGATTTGTTTGTGATCAACTTCAGAGCTCATAGTTTAGGCTTTCTTTTGCAATTTTTAAATTTTTTTTCATGCAAAATCTTGATGTTGATAGGCACTTGATACATTGAATAGGTACTTAATTTAACACTAGGTTAATTCACAACTTTGGATTCACTATATATATTTTTTGACATCACTTTGAATCACTGCGAGATGACTTTCATTTTTCTTCATCAAGAATATCTTGTGTGGGAAGTGTGCTAGTTCTTTATATCCTTCATTTTTTAAAATGTCTTAAGTTTTACCCTAGACTTAATTGATAGTTTGAGTAGAGAATTTTGGATTGGAAATAATCTTTCAGGGTTTTGAAAATATTGCCTTCTATTAATATTGCTGATTAGAAGTCTGATACTATTCCAATTCCTGATTGCTTATGTATGACGTATTGTTTGTAGACATTTAAAAAAATTTTTCTTTTCACATTTCTTTTTGTTGAAATTTCATACAGATTGTTCATGAAATCCACCAGCTTGCAAAATGACACTCGTTGGTTCTCCACTATGCCTGGTGTCCCTAGATTTGAAGTTTATCTTAGAATATTTCAGGGGAGGTATAGAATTGAGAACTGAGGGACATTACTGTTCCCTACATGGATTTTCAATTTTTAGCCTCATGCCTTGTCTTGCTGTTTCTCACACTTATCCTCCAATAAACGTTTGAGCCTTTTTGTGTGTTTCACTTGCTTCCTGTTGGTATCCCTCTCTGCAGGTATTTGATGTTTAGCTCTGCTGTCTCTTCCACATGCTTTTTATCTTCCGAAGTGTTTTAGTATCTCTTTAGCTGATATCTTCTCTCTTTTTGTTGTTCTTGTGGTTTTTATGTTTTTAATACATTCCTTTTTTTTCCCCTTCAAATTAATGGGCTTTCAGGAATGAATAAAGGTAAACACATTTTTAGTCCATCACATTTAACTGTAGGTTTAAGCATTTTTGAACAGTAAGTTATTAATTCTTCTTTCTTTAGAATAATAACAACAGTGGATGTTGGTTTGCCATGAAATTTTAATCACGTTCTTGTATTTTAATTAAAATCAAGTTTTCATTTTTGAAATTTGCCTCTCCCATATTTCTATTTTA